GCCGAGGAGCCACGAGCCCAGGGACACGCTGGGGGCCGGCGCGCCTCAGTGGTCCCTCTTGGTGGCTCCGCTGGCCCGTGGAGCCCACCGCCACCTTCAGCTGCTGTGAGGTCCCACGTTGAGGGGGTTGTTCTCCAAAACTCCTCACCTCCGCTCGTTTCATTTGGGGCTGGGTCGCTCCCTGCAGTGGGCCCTACTTCTCACACTGCGGGAAGCAGGCGATGACCCTGCTCTCTCCACCTTCTCCATGCAGATCTCTACGACTCTCCTCCAAAGCAAGGACAACTCCTTGCTCCCTCTGTCCTCACACAGAAGTGCTCCTACGGTCGATCGCTGCCTTCTCTGTGACTTCACTGCTCTTCCCTCATCCTTGGAAGGAGGGGCTGGGAGGGTGTCCAAATGGGATGCTCCAAGGGTTCCTGCCCTGGCATAACACTGGTTCTTCTGGCTTTGCTGGACCAGTTCTCGCAGTATGATCCTCCTTTAGGACCAGTCCCCATGCAAACTGCCACTTATTCCTACCCATCGGCCGTGCACCGTACTAGTTATCAACATGAAAGGGGCCTTCTTCCCTCCCTTACTCGGTTGCTCCAAGAGCTCTCCATGAGGGATGCAGTCAGATTTATTTTTTCCCACTTGCAAAGGGGCTCACGGAGGCCTGTGGCCACTGCCACCAACTTGGAGGAGGAGGAGTACCAGCTCTCCCTGGTACTCCTCTAATCCTCTCCTGTGTTTTCTTGGAAACGTGGAAGAGCAAAGACCTTCCCAGAGTTACAGGAGAACAAAGAAGTCAGCACACCAGCCCCACGGCTTGAGGACCCCATGGGATGGTCCCTTGATGTGCTGGTGCAGGAACTGCTCTGAATCCCTACTGCAAAGGGCGTTCTCCTCTCGGAGACCCACAATTGGACATTCGTCCTTCCCAGAGCTGATCCTGTCTTTCTCTCCCCAGCTGGCGTTGGTCCCTCGCAGTGCTGTTTCTCTAACACATTGAAGCTGCGGCACTTCTGGAGATGGAAGAAAACCAGATAACCCTGGACAACCTTGAGAAGGGCGCGGATAACCCAGCATTCAGCTCCGTGGTAAGTGCCCCCTTCCCCTCCTGTCGGGGTACAGGAGCTGCTCAGGGTGCTCCAGCTAATGATGTTTTCCAGGGGGAGGAGCGACTCTATCAGGAATGTGATGGTCCATGTGGTGAGAGCAAAGAGGAGAAGAGAGGAGAAGGGCAAGGGAGATTCTCCTCCTACTGCAGGTAGGATAACCCCTGGAGATATGTGTGAGGGGGTGTTTCCAGTGGTCATAGCAAGTCTGCAATCCTTGGGCCAGCGATTCTCCTGGAGCCAGACCTGATCTGGGAGCAGGGTAGGGTCATATTGACCACGTAGAGGGGACAGTGCCTGATGGCTCCGGATGGCTTTGTAGGGTGGCAGTGGCTGGTCTCTGTCCCCATAGCAGCCACCCAGAGCAAGCCTCCTCTCATGGTGCCCGGGGCGTTGGGGTGTGTGCTGGGGTCTCCCCTGCCATGTGCGGGGCCCCCCCCTGCCATAAGAGGCCAGCTCACTCCTCCTGGGAGCGGGCAGCAGAGCTGCTAGAGGCCACGGCACACCTCTACCACCATGCTGCTGCCACAGGCGCCCTCTGGGAGGCATGGTCATGACCTGGCTCCGTTGAGCTGGGTTGGGTTGATCTTCAGGATACATCTTCTGCGCCTCTCACCTCTCTGGCATGTGACTCTCCCCAGGAAGGCCCTGCAGCCGGCATCCAAGGCAAAGCGCTTCTGCAAGGCTCATGTCAAGGTGTTGAGAAGGGTCCTCCTAGGGCTCCTTGGAGTAGGTGAGGACTTCCCGGCACTGAGACTCCATCTCCACATCCCTTTTCCTGGCCTTGCCCCCAGCCTCCAAGCACTGGGCATGGCCACTCGTGTGGAGGTTGTATCCGCTCTTCACCAGCCCCACTGCCTGCCCCCTCCTCACCCCACCACTCCTGTCCATGAGGGCTACCTGCACCTCACTGTCCTCCTCCCCTTCCTCCACCTACGCAAAGGGTTTGCTGTGCCTCTTCTCCTCGCGCCATGTGCCCCCAGACAGCTGAGGTGCTGTCACCAGTGAGCCTGGCTGTTGGGGTGGTGCTCCCTAAGTCCTCCTCGCGCACAGATGGGAGCCTCAGGGGTGGCCAGGGAAGGACATTTGGGGGAAATGAACCTCCTTGTTGGCCCCGGTTAGTGTTATGAATCCATGATCCTACGGCCCTGATGTTTCTGACCCCCAATGTGCCTTCTCCAGCCTACCTGTGCTACTTTATTGCGGCCTGTTGGCTCAACTTCCAGCGAGCCCTTGCCTTGGTTGTCATGACTGCTGTGGTTGTCTTCTTCATCTGCTGGAGCCTCTTCAAGAAGCACTGTGGGGCAAAGGTATTGCTGCTCCTCAGCCCCATTTGGAAAGGCTTCCAAAAGCTCTGGCCGTGGCTGAAATGGTGAGTCAGGAAAAGGCAGGGCCAGATCCTTCCCAGCGCCCATGTCCCCTCTCCCGTGGCTGCCCTGCCAGCATGACCAACAGCCGGTGGCGTTGGGTACGTGCCCTAGTGCCGTGCAGGCACCCCATGAACGATGAGGCGTGGCCCAGCCTGGGGACCACTTAAAAGCCTTGGCAGAAACGTCTTACTACTCTACCTTAGTAGCGTGATGGCTATTCACACCCCTCATTTGTGTCCGAGCCCCAGGTTTCTTCAGATGCGTGGACCTTACAGTGGCATCTCCCACAGTTAGCTCCTGCCCTTCGTGAGCTGCTCTCCCCATGGGGACATCCTCTCTGTGACAGTCTGGGATTTCCTTTGCAGGCTGCTGGTGGTGGGCCACCTGGTAGGCCTGATCACGTGGCTGGCTTTGGACAACTCCAGAAATCCAGAGCAGCTCATCTCATTAGCTGGCTTCTGCTTTTTGGTGCTGTTCCTGTTTGCCTGCTCCAAGCACCACGGCGCAGTATGTGTTTCAGGTGTGGCTTGGCCGTTGGTCCCCTCGCAGGAGGTGGCCACCCAGCACTGGGGAACAAGTGCTTCCTTCCCACTGGCATCCCTTGATGGCCCGTTGCTGGAGCTCCCTGGAGGAAGCAGAAGCCCAGCAGGGCTCCTGGGCAGAGCTGGGCACAGCCTGGGGAGCCGAGCTGGTTGGGTGGATGGAGCCCCAAAGCCACCTCACTGCTCTCCTTCCCACTGCTCAACCCAGGGCTCCCCCACAGTGCCTCCATCCTGGTTTTTCCACTGTGTCCCTCATAGTGGGTCAGACCCAGAGACCCAGCATCAGACCCCTGCCTGAGCTTCAGGTGCCTGTGGGTGGAGGGTGGGCCTGAGCTTCGGGTGCCCTGGGTGACTTGGGCAGAAGTGATTGAAGTCCCAGTGGCTTCCAACCCAACCTGCTTCAGTGTTTTGGGCAATCCCTCCATCCACCTGTCCAAAGGGTTAATGAAGGGGAAGTTTTGATCTAGCAGGTCTGTACTACTAGTCAAACCATCAGAAGGTCTCTGTGCTCGTCTCCTCCTGGGTAAGCCTGGCAGGTTATGTTCCACCACCTGAGTCCCACCAGCTCATCTTCTTCCTCTATCACCAACCTATGTTTGTGGGTTTCTGTGACACTTTCTTTATTAGTATCCCCATGACCCTCACCCGGGGCACAATGTAATGGTGTTTGCCATGTGCAGCTGTCAAAGGGGCAGGAAGCCAGAGAGGGAAGTCTGTAGGCTTTGCTAACATCTCAGTCCCCGTTCTGCTCTTGGTCCCCAGGTGCCCTGGAGAGCAGTTTCCTGGGGTATTGGCTTGGAGTTCTTATTTGGACTCTTCGTCCTCCGAACAACCCCCGGCGTCCAAGCTTTCCAGTGGCTGGGTGACCAGATCCAGGTACTGCATCTGCTCACCCCACCCCGTGCTTGCACCCTCCATGTAGCCCCCCCTGGGATCAGCAAGAAGAACAGAGGGTGGCATGGGGCGGAGAAGCTGCAGGGACTGCACGCTCACAAACACTTTTGTTTGGGACTGGAGGAAAGCCAGCTCTTTCCTGGTTTTCTGCAGCAGCCCAGACCCTTCGGTGCAGTCTTCCTTGCAGGCTAGAACAGTGACCCGTGGCTTGGAGGCAGCCCGCCAGTGTCCCCAGCTTAGGTTTCAGAGGGTCATTCTCTGGCAGGGCGGTGAAGTGAGCTGTGGGGCTGGGGGTGCAGACCCCTGCTAGGTAGAAGTGAGATGTCGGGGAAAGAGCTAATGGAGATCTCCGTCCTACCATGTAACTTCTCCACTTGCAGTTATTCCTGGGCTACACCACAGCTGGCTCCAGCTTCGTCTTTGGGCAAAAGCTCACTGAAGAAGTCTTTGCCTTTCAGGTCAGCTTGGGGAATGGGGTATGGGGAGGGAGAGGCAGAGCCTGGTTTTCTTCTGGTCTGGCTGCCTTGCTGGGTCCTGGAGAGCATGGAGCTAAATGCAGCCAGGTTTGCTGCAGCAGAGCTCAACCAGCTCAAGGATGGGTCTCTCTCAGCTTTGTACCCACCCGTGGACCTCCTCAGTGCCATGGGGGATTTGCACTGGTCCCTGTCCCCCCTGTCAGCCTGGCCCAGTGTTGTGGCACCCCAATAGCGTGGGCTGGCTGTGCAATACCACACCGTGCCCGGCTCATGGGACAGAGGGGCTTGGTCCCCAAGTGACTTAGATGTGCTGCTCAGCTCTCCTTTAACCCTGTGCCCTGGTGCCTTGCCTGCAGACGCTGCCCATTGTTGTTTTCTTCAGTTGTGTGATGTCCATCCTCTACTACCTCGGTGTCATGCAGTGGCTTATTGTCAAGGTAGGGCCTCACACCTGGCTCTGGGATGGTGGTGGAAAGGAGAAGAACCTGGTGGGTTCTCTGACTACTGTGATCAGCTGAGGGATGTCCCAGGAAAATTGGCATGGTACTAATTTGGGGTGATTTGTCCTGCTTAAAAGAATAGACACAAACCCCCTCTTTCTTGCATGTCCTCCTGAGAAAGCCCAACCCTGGAGTTGATGTTGCTACCTGGTCTGTGGGCGCTTCCCAAGATCACCTCTGCGCAGATCACAAACAGTGCCCTGCTTCATGGGGTGGGTGGCAGGGTGCGAGGAGCCTTTGCGAACATGGTGGCCTTGTCTTTCCCCAGATCTCCTGGCTGCTTCAGGTCTCGATGGGCACCACTCCCACTGAGACCCTGAGTGTGGCAGGGAACATTTTTGTGGGACAGGTAAGGTCCTGGGCAGGAGATCCAGCTCCTCAGCCCTTGCAGCTGACCCTGCCCTGAAGGAAGGGTCTTCTCCTCCCTTCCCAGGAGACCTGTGGCCCTGCGTGGCCCTGTCTCGAGGACAACAGGGTTTTCTCTCTCGCAGACCGAAGCCCCGCTGCTCATCCGCCCGTACCTTGCAGACATGACCCGTTCAGAAATCCACGCTGTGATGACTGGTGGCTTTTCCACCATTGCAGGCAGTGTGATGGGTGCCTACATATCCTTTGGGGTGAGTGCACGAGCAGATGTATGCCACATGCTCCCTGCTATGGGGTCCTGACATGCCAGAACTGCCCTGGACTTGCGGGTGGGAGAAGACCCCCATCAAGTGTCCCATGGTCCCCTTCCAAAAGCAGGATAAGGGCAGGGTGCCTCCATGTCCAGCCTTTGCTGGCCTGGCCAAAACCCCGGAGCCCTGCCAGGTAGAAGGCACTGCCGTGGGACCATCACTGTGAGTCCTTGCACAGTGAGCAGGGCAAATCTCACTGAATCACGGGATAATTTAGCCTGGATGGACTCTCTGGGGGTCTCTCATCCACCCTCCTGCCCAAATGAGGTGATGGCAAAGCCCAAGAGGATGCCCAGGCCCTTGTCTGGGTTGGTGGTGAACATCCCCATGGGTGGAGATCTCCCCCCGCCTCTCTGGTCCACCCCATAGGTGCCTCGGTCACAGGGAACAATTTTTTCCTTATATCCAGGAACTGGAATTTCCCCACTGAAGCTGTTCCGTTGCTTCTCACCCTTTCACTGGGCACCTCTGAGCAGTGTCTTCCCTCCAACCCCCTTTTAAGTAGTTGGAACCGACCCCCCCGGGGATGCCCTCTCCCGTTCATCAGTGTCTCAGCCCTGGACACGGTGTCCAGACGTGGCCTCATCAGTGCTCTGTAATGGGGAATAAACCTTCCCCTCGACCTGCTGGCTAAGCTCCTGCTATTTAAACATTAATTAGTCTCCTTAAATGGGGAGCCAAGGGTGAAAGGTCAGAGAAATGAGACGTTGCCACTTGTGGGCAGGGGAGGGGTGAGGCTGGGAGCTTGGCTCTTCGTCAGCAGGTGGAAGTTCGCAATGTTGCACAACCTATTGCTCTGATACTGATAAAAAGGGACAAGGAAGGGACAAGAATCATCACGATTAGGTCAAACAGCAGGAGAGGTTAACATCTCTGAGGCCACGATCACTGCAGCTCCAGCACTGCTGCCATCCAGGCGAGCTGCCCTACGTGCTGTGGCCGGCTGAGGTGGGAAAAATTCTCCCATGGACGGAGATATTTTTCCCACCCTGAGCAAACTGAGAGCCCTGAAGTGCTCCGAGCGTCGCTGGCTGATGCCAGCCATGTGCTGGGGTGCCCTGGGGTGGCACGTCACGGGGCGCAGCCTTGCACAGAGGTGCCTAAGCCCACGGTCTGCACGTTGCAGATAGATGCAGCATCACTGATCGCAGCCTCCGTGATGGCTGCGCCCTGTGCCCTCGCCATGTCCAAACTCATCTACCCTGAAGTGGAAGAGTCCAAGTTCAAGGGCAAAGCGAGCGTCCGCCTCTCCAGGGGGTGAGTGTGAGGAGAGGGATGGTGGAGTGGGGCTGCACGCGTCCTGCCAGTGCAGGGAAGCCGTGGGGGCAATTTGGGGGCACAAGTGGACGTTGCGGGTGGCCCAAGGTTGGGAGAGCCTGTGGTGTGCCGTCATCCATGGAGTGAGAGCTGACCTTGCACAGGGGATGCCTGGCCACATGAGCCCATTGGGGTCTTTTTACACGCAGGGAAGAGCAGAACATCCTGGAAGCTGCAAGCAACGGGGCTGCCGCCTCCGTGGGGCTCGTGGCCAACATAGCGGCCAACCTCATTGCCTTCTTGGCGGTGCTGGAGTTCATCAATTCTGCCCTTCGCTGGTTCGGAGAGATGGTAGACATCAAGGGCCTGTCCTTCCAGGTATCCCCAAGGCTAGCCCCATGGTCTGGGCTGCCAGATCCTGCATCCTCCACCCATCCCCACCTGTGCCCACCGCCTCAGTAGGCTGCCGAGACCCTTGCTGGGTGTTTGGCAAATGCTAGCAGCGGGTGTCCAAGCCAGGGGCTATGCAGGTGGTCAGCTCTGAGTTGCTCCCTTCTGGGATGCTTTTCCCAGGTGATCTGCTCCTACGTCCTCATGCCTGTGGCCTTTCTTATGGGAGCTGACTGGGCAGACTCACCGCTGGTGGCCGAGCTTTTGGGCATCAAGATCTTCCTGAACGAGTTTGTGGCGTACCAGCAGCTGGCCACGTACAAGAAGAACCGTCTGTCAGGCCTGGAGGAGTGGGATGGGAGCCGGAAGCAGTGGATATCTGTGAGGGGCACCTGCCACCCTGCCGGGCACAGGGCAGGGATGGAGCCAGCCAAAATGGGGCATGGGACCTGGCCAGGCAGATGGGTGGTGGGCAGGCAGGGAGATGGTGGTGTTGGGGGTGGGAGGGCACCTATGGCCAACTAGACTTGGATGTTACACTAACTGCTGGGTACGGGGTCATCCTGAAGGAGCCAGTGAAGGCCTTTTCCATTTATCCTGCTCCTTGGTGGGGCAGATCATGGTGCTACAGGACCTCCTGTCCCCCCAGCCCAGCCTCTCCCAGGGGCAGGCTGCCTACCACCTGCATCCTTGCTCCAAAAAATAGCTGAAGGAGAAAGGATTGGGGTGGGGGACTTATCTCCATCATGTCTGGCTGGGTTGGGAGCTACGACATGGTGCTCAGCTCAGGTTGCTCTGGGGCTGCTCCTGGGTGGAGGTCACCATCCCCTGCCGCTGTGCCCTCCAGGAACGAGCTGAGAGCATCGCCACCTTTGCACTCTGCGGATTCGCCAACCTCAGTTCCATCGGGATCATGCTGGGAGGCCTAGGTGAGCATGACCCGCGTCCCAGGTGCCTGGGCATGATGCAGGGCGATCCTGGGCCCAGGGAGCAAGGGCTCAGCTGTAGCAGGTGAATTTGCTGCCCTCAAGCCTCCATGTTCGGTCTCTGCCAGCACACAGATAAGAAACAAGATTTGCATGAGGTGATAGGGATGATTTTGCACTGCACCCGTGGGCAAGAGCACGTGCATGTGCCACAAGCCCAGGTGCCACCCAGTCATGGGGCAAAGAGCAGAGACTCCAGTGCTGGGAGCGCCACGAGCTCTGGTTGATCACCCATGGGTGCAGGGTGGGCACAGCGCTCTGCCAGCACCCACCGCTGCCAGGACGGGCAGACAGCATGCTGGGTGCTGGCTGGGATCACCATGTCCCCCAGACACCAGGGGTTGGGGTGGGCAGGGCACTATATAGCAGAGCCAGCTGGAGACCTGGGAGACATCCCTATCTGTTCCCAGCCTGCGGTAGAGCTGGAGCAAGGATCTGACTCGCCCCAGTCTCTGCTTTGCCCCTGCAGCCTCCATGGTACCCCAGCGCAAGGGCGACTTGGCCTCCGTCGTGCTGCGAGCCCTGCTCACTGGCATCTGCGTCTCCATGCTCAACGCCTGCCTGGCAGGTAGGTCCCTGCCCACTGCCAGCGGGGCCAGAAAGAACCGGGGAGGGACAGGCAAAGGGCTGAAGACCCCTATAAATGCAGGTGCGGGGATGGGGACGGCTGGCCTGTCCTCCCCATTGCTCTGCCAGGGCCTCCAAACCCTCTGCTCTCCCCTCATGGCTTTGCCAGGGCCTGCCCAAGCCCAATAGCTCTGCTGGGGCCCCTCATCCTCATCTGGGCTGGGACAGGGACATTTCAAGGGCAGCTTTTGGGGCACTGCAAGGAGTTCCCTGGGGCCACTGCTGCAACCATCTTGGGGGTGAGGTGGGACGGCGCATGGGGCCTGCAAGCACAGTCCCAGGTACAGGATTTGCAAGCAAGCATAGTCGAGGTATGGGATTTGTGAGCAGGGTTGCGGTACATGATTTGCAAGCATGCTCGGGGTAGGGGATTTGCACGCATGTCCCTCAAGAGCCGCAACCAGAAGACCTTGTCCCCCAGGTCTCCTTCACGTGCCAACGGAGGTGGGCAACTGCGTGACCTTCCTCGGCACCGCCAACTTCAGCTCTACCAGCTACACGATGTATGTGTGCTGCAAGCAGCTCTTTGCCAGGTGGGTGTGAAAGGCCCCAGAGCTGTATGGTCCTGCCCGGGGACCCAGGTGGTGGGGCAGCAGCTCGTCCAGACCATGCTTCTCTCCTTCCAGCTCGGTGCTCGAGAACGGGACGCTCTCCTTCACGGGAGACTGGGCCGGCCTGGCGGAAAGCATGGTGTGCCTGACGCAGTGCTGCGGGCACTACAACCACACGTCCTGCGCGGGGACAACCTAGAAATGTGCAGGCAGCTGCCCGCGCTGGGGGCGAGGGCCTGTGAGCACCAGGGTCTGCAAGGCCTGGCCCCAAAGGTGGAAAAAACCCCGCAGAGACCTGTGTGTTTTGTCTCCTCTGCTCCAGTGATGATGGACAGCCATGTGCACCTTGCAACCAGTACCCTTAGGTGCTGGGCCCGTGGACACAAGGGAACTGCTCCCAAATAAATCATGGAAATCCCTGTGTGCTTGCCCTCAGCCCCTCTCTGGCCCCTGACCGCAGCTGTCCCACAAGGCATGAGATGCTTTGCTTAGGCTGCACCCCGCAACCGCAGCTGCCGTAGCTGGCATTTGCTACAGACCTCGCAAGCCGAACCTCTGCCAGGTGCCAGCTTTAGGGTCTGGCCCCGGCCACCCTCTTCTCCCCCACGGGGTGCGGATGGGGGTAAAGCCATTACTTGAAGACGTTTCCTTCCCCTGAACACAAAGCCGCCCCGTCCTGCTGTGCTTGAGTGCATCTTTTCCGCAGGGACCACAGCGCTGGGGAACAGGCCAGTCCTTCTCGTTTTATTGCACTCGAGAGCACCCATTCGCCAACGCCGGCCACGTTATGTACATCGTTATTTTACAATGACCCAACAACAAAACACCAGGGCCCCAGAGCATGCCACACTCCCAGCCCAGTCCCTTCCCTCGTCCGCCAGGCTGCACCAAGCCACCGTTTCGGACACCACCATGCGGGGTGGCATTGCTGGCGCCCAGCACCCTCCTCCAAAGCCCTAGGGAAGGTGATGCTCTGCGGCAAGTTGAAGCAGGCAGCGCTGGGGCTCTTTGCAAGCCTTGCTGCCCACTGCCACGCTCTGCCGGCTGCTGCATGCCTGACCAAGCTGACGGGCACAGGGGAGGTTTGACGCAACGTAGGGTGCTTTACTTTCCAGCATGAGCATCGCTGCCTGTGGGTCCCTGCCGCCCGCCGCAGGGCAGCGGGATCTGGAGAGGGTGCCGCTAGCTGCCACTGGGGTACGGCATGTGCCAAGGGGTGATGCTAAGCAAGCATGACCAGGTTGTGCTATGGGGCTGGGCAGGGCGTACAGGGTCTGTGTATGGCAGGTGGGCAAGGAGGAGTGAGTCCTGTGGGCTGGACACCCACATGTGCCAAAGCAGCGCCTGGCATGGAGGGGCAGTGTCCCCTTCGCCCCGCTCCCGGGTGTCCCATGTGAGGTAGAGCATCCTTACCATGGCACTGGCCAGCACCCATAGCAGCACTGCCGCCCTCAGCATCCGCCCAGCAAGGGGGTGGGAGGCTCACCCCGGGGTGCAGGGGAGGCTGGGAGGGCAGGGGTGCAAAATCCCATCCCCATGCAGCTGCCGGTACTGACGCCAGCCCCCCCCCCATGGGACCAGCCTGCACCCCAGAGCCCCACACAATAGCAGCAGGAGCCCTGCAGCTCACCGCTAAACCCCTCTGCAGCAAAACCTTTTAAATCACAGTGTGCCAGGGCAAATGAGACGGCCTGGGTGCTGTTGAAGTTCACATCCTTGACACAGAGCGCTGGTGGGGCTTGGCGCGGTCGCTTTATGGAGGACACAAAGAGGGACATGAGGTGCTGGAAGCCAGGAGGGCAGCCTGGACTCCCAGTTTTCTCGGGGGAGCCAGGCAGGGGGCATGGCCCCTGCAAAGCCCGAGGGAGCAGGTCTGACAGCCCCTGCCTTAAAGAAGGCAAACGGAGAGAGTCAAGAGAGGAAAGCGAGCCTGAGCATGGAGGGGCACGTGGCCCCTCAGGTTCCACCACTGGCAGCAGCTCTTGTAAAGAGGTATTGGTGAGGGGGTCTGCGCTGCCCCCGGCTCACAGCCCCACCATGCCCCCAGCCGAGCCGCTCACACTAGCACACACCACACAATGCAAGAGCCGCGAGCCGGAACGGGAGCCAAAGGGAGGAGAGCGGCGGGAGGAGGCCGCGGCCCGGGGCCCCCCCTCC